AACAATGGCTGAAAACCTAATATATACAAGCTAAAACACGAGCTGGAACACTTTTGCAAATACTAGAACTTATGGGCCAAAACTGCAATTTGCTCTCCATCTTTTGACAAAAGCCGCGATTCCTTCCCAGCTACGGGTGACGAGCGTCACCCTTGAGTGGTGACGATCGTCACCAAGTGCTGAACAACGCTTCTGAGTTGTATACTCCGGGGCTGTAACTTGCAATGCTCCAAAAAGCTCCATAATCTCCAATTGTGCTCCAGACATGCTATAACCTGCAAAGACTCTACTAGGACTCTAAAAAGACCAAAAAGACTCAATGAAAAGGACTTATATCATGGTTAAAAACTATAAAAACCATGATATATCAAGAAACAAGATGAGAGCAAGCCAGTCCCCACAACCAGCAACATCAGGATCTTTCCAAGATCCAGGAGAGACTGAGTAACTCTCTTACACCTCCCATCACTCCTCACACCACAACTAAGGTACCACATCCTTTCCCTTGTATATACCATTGAATTTTTCTTTAAGTTTATGTAATATATTTCTGTTGCTTCTCTCTTTCACTCTTTTATTACACAAGGGATTGTGTAATTTAAGTGTGGGGAAGGGATTGGGGTTTGACTTTGTGTTTTCTTTTCTTAGTTTTTCCTTTCTTTCATCTTTGAGTCTCATGCATACATACATACATGTAAGTGCATAGAAAAATACAAAAAAATTGAAAAAATTTGAAACATTTTGCATCTTTTGTAAACCAAAAAGAAGCATATAGTTGCATTCATTTAATTAGGATTGAGTCTAGTGTTTGCATATAGGTTGCATTGCATTTGCATAGGACATAATGATGAATTCTCCTTGTAAAATGCTTAGTGTTTAGGAATGATTTCAATATCTAAGTGGTTAAGTGTTTGATGCATCATGAAAAAGTTAGAAGTTAAGGCTGAACCATGTTTTAAATGCTAAATCTGATTCTCTCATCTCATGCTGAAACCATTTGTTCTTTGAAAATCAACTCTAATATATTAGAACCTTGATCTGAATTTGAATTATCATGTTTGTGCATTGAAAAGTGATTTCATGGCTACCTTATACATATTTGGATCATCTTCTTCCCTTCTCGCCACTCTTGTTGATCCAAATAGCTGTTCCTCATAATTATGGGACAGTTAATCCACACCCTTAACCAATCCTCCTTTCTGAACCTAAACACTTTAGTGAGAGTGTGAGGCCTTGCATACATATTTTCAAATTTTATCTTGGCAAAAAGTGTTAGGATTAAGGCTGGAAAGGAGAAGCTCTATTGTGGATATCAGCTTGCATTTTGAGCTTGATTCTAAGTTAGGAGTCTGGGTAAAAGGGTAGTGTTAAGTGGTTTGAACTTCATGGTTTATATCTTTTAAGAAGCAGAAGAAGTATGGGAATGGTAGTGTGGGAAAATAAGTTAAGTTTGTGGTTAAGTATAAAGGAAATATAGCTCTAAGTGTTTAAGAAAAGAAGGTGCCAACAACAGCAATGCTTTCAAAGGTCATCCAAAGGAGAAATCAGACCAAAGCAATCCACCAAAGGTGATGAAGAATGGCGCCTAATCAACAAAAGAAGAGGAAGTCCCAACAAAAGAATCAACCACACAAGCAAAGAAGAAGGAGTTTCCCCACACATGAGGAAGAAGAGGATCAAATTCTTTGGAAAAGAGTAGACTTAGGAGGTTTACTTTGGGTTCAGAAGTTCTTGGGATTCATCTTTGGGTAAAAGGGTAGAAGAGAGCTTTAACTTGCATGCATAAGTGTGCTTTTACCTTTAGCATTTTGCCTAAGATATAATCATTTTCATTGAGTGATCCCTTGATTTTATTAGCCCTTACTTGAATGAGATCATTTTCATCTCATGACCATACCCTTAAACCAAATATTTACACTTGATTTGCACAAACTTGATTCATGGTTACATGTTTAATGAATGTTAAAGAGTTGATTGATTTGAACACTTGTCTAGACTGAGATTTGAGATTATTTTGAAACAGGATGAGCATGGCTAGGTTCTTTAAAGTATAACTGATCATAATTTGCATCTTACAATTAGGCACTTGGACATTGATTTCACTTATTTACCTTTGCATTTTTGGATTTGAGTACCCACTTTTAAACCTCATCTCCGATTTGTCTTAGTTTGCTTGCTTGAGGGAAAGCAAAAGGCAAGTGTGAGGGTGTTGATATCTCTCATATTTACATCATTTATGAGTCTCCTTTTGCATGTTTTTCTTCTCTTTAGTCTCATTTTTCTTTTCTTTTAGACTTAGGTTGCATTTAGGTTGTAGTTTGCATTCTCTTTGTATAAAGGATTTTTTTAGGTACCTAAGGAGTCATTGGAGGCAAGGAGGAAGCATGGGAATGATTCAGGGAGTTGCCTAAGCCAAGGAGGAGCAAAAGGAGCTAAGGAAGTGAAAATTTGGTTCAACATCAAGCATGGTGAAGCCAGCATCGTACGATGTAAAGAAGCAGAGAGGATGGCAGTCCACATCGATCATCCACATCGCAAGCCTGCTCGATGTCAAGCGACAGGACAGCCACATCGATCACCAGCATCGTGCAATGTAAACGGGCAGGAGCTTCAACATTCCACATCGACCAATCACATCGATCACCACCTGCTCGATGTCAAGCATCTGAAGCCTTACATCGATCATCCACATCGAGCTCTTTAGCTCGATGTTGGCACCATCCGAACTGTTTTTATTTACAAGTTTGCCATTCTTCTAGGGGTTTTGTCTTTTAGTATAAATAGGCTTGAACCAATGGATTTTGGCAAGTCTTGTTCTTGCTTAGTTTTATGATTGCTTTTGAGTTTTTGTAAGAACAAGTTTCTCTTTTTAATCTAATTTTTGTATTTGCCTTATTTAATCTTCTCTAATCTCTCTCTTAATCATGTTAAACATCTTTTCACTGTCAATTAGCATTGCTTGCTTGTTTACTGTCAATGAGTTTGATAACAGCTTAGTCTTGCCTTTGAATTCTCCAAAGTCAATAACCACATCTATGATCCTTGCTTTTAATGTATTGAATTTCGAATTTGCTTAGTGTTCTGTTTTGCTTGCTCTGTTTTACATTAGATCATTGCTTAGTATTGCTCTTACAAGTTGTGCTTGGTTCATGATTCACTTAGGTTGATTAGTTTAGAAGTTTAAACAACTCCTTTTCTGATTTTGCTTGACTTAAAGCATTCTATTACAATCCTAGTGGCTTCTAACTAACCCCTTTGGATTGATAAAAACCATATATTATACTACAACTGATTAGTATGAGTTTGGGTAATTGGAAAAGAGCTCAAAACTTTAGTATCACTAGGCATCTTTGTAATGGAACGATATGGACATGAGTATGATGGACAGAGCGTGATGAACAAAGAAATCACACTCTATTCATGGTTTGATTGTTCTCATTCAATGGTTTTGGTTTTATCACTTGTTCTCCAATTACGGCCAAATCTTAACTTTTTTTCAGTGGACAAGATTTCGTGGATAGGTTTTGATGCATGTTATGCACATGTGTTTGGTGTTGATAAACTAGAAGAAAAAATAAGAAATCTATTTTTATGTGTTCATCATAATGTGTACATATAATCATGTTCATGCATATGGAAAATCTATAATAAAAGCATATTAACGTACATTACATTTCGTAAAAATCAAAAACTGACGACATAATCCAGTCCACCTATAATTAACCACAAAATCTTAACCATTTAAACAATGTCTATTACTTATTATCACTTCTCTAATTACGGCTATGTCTTAACTTATTTTCAGTAGATAAGATTTCGTAGATAGGTTTGATGGACCCCATGTTATGCATATGTGTTTGGTGTTGATAAATAAGAAATCTGTTTTAATGTGTCCATCATAAAGTGTTTATATAAACATGTCCATGCGTCCGAAAAATCTATAATAAAAGCATATTGACATAGAACTGACAACTGACCACACAATCCAGTTTACTGATAATTAATCATAAAATCTTGACCATTTTTTTGTAAACAATATCTATTATTTATTAATTTAGATTCAAGAGTAGCGTGAATAAAGTTTGATAGAGATGATTATATAGACAAATTTGCTTGGGCAATATAAACATTATATTATCCATTAACATGTCTTCTATAGTGTTTGTTACTAAATGAAGATGAAAAAAGAGAGAGAAGTTTGAGAAATTTAGTTACAAAGTATAAAAGTTTTTATTTGGAAGAAAGTATGTTAAGAATACAAATAATTCTAAATTCAAAAATGCTTTTAAATGTAATAATCTCCGTCAACTAGCTATATAATTATTACATAAATAATATTTTTTCGAAATAAATTATAGTCTTAAAATGTAAAATGAATTCGGAAATACTTCTATAACGTGGTTATCCCTACATTCGTCCGATCTTATTACGAAAATGGGTTTTTTTATTAATAACTGAATAAAATACTTCATTATACTTTACTTTTACAGTTTTTCTTCATTTTTGAGTTATTTGTTACCAAACAAAAATAATGGGTTGCATAGCCTAGTAAATTACTATTGGATGATACACTACTATCACTTCCTAAACCGCTAATATTTTGCTTAAGCTTATCATCTCACTAATAAAATTCGAATAAATTAAAATTAAAGGTAACCGGAAGTGAGAAAATAAAATAACCAAACCAAAAGACAGAAATTAGAAAACGACGTTGCCATAAAATTCGAATAAATCAAAATCAAAGATGACCGGAAGTGAGAAAATAAAATAACCAAACCAAAAGGCAGAAATTAAAAAACGACGTTGTAACGTATACGTAAACAGTTCCGTCACAAATAAACATAAGAGCAGAGCAGCAAGTATCTTAAAACCCCAGAAAGAAAACAAAACTCTACCATTCAAAAGGTTATAAGGACTCTAGAAAGATATTAAAACACATAGTAACAAGATCAAACTCCTATTTGGAGATATAAAAAGAACAGTGCAGAAGAAGAGCCTCTTCACTTGAAGCATTTAGCGTCCAAGAGAGCCTCACCTTCAAATGGCTCGGCGTCTTCAATCATCTGGCTCACTCGCTCTTTCTGTGCTTCGACAGAGATATCAACCTTGGTCCACTCATACAGCTCCATGTCGTAAACTTCGTCCATTATGAACTTTGGGATCTCTGGTCCACGGAACAGCCACAAACCTTTCACCTTGAAGGGACCCTCTGACCCGATAATCAGCATCTTTCCGAATGAGTATTTACGTGCCAAGTCCATTCGCTGGAGGAACCCACCAACCTTGTTGAGTGTCACGAACGAAACCATGTTCTCGTCGTTGTACTTGTAGTCACAGAACCATAGTGAGTATCCTTCTGGGTCGTACATGTCCCAGAATCCTGCATATAAACAAATATAGAAGGCAGTGTAAGCTTTAATAAAATGTAACTGTAACCAGCTTCAGACTCAACTCTTCCCTATACCTCAAAAGTATCTAGCTTTATATAGAATTTATCAGATTAAGCTGTTGTAAGTTGGTTAAAGAGCAGTTTGTGAGGGCTGGATCGTTTCGGGTGTGGAAGTTCTATTGAGAGTCTATATAGTTCAGTGAATTGGGATAAGAACAGCAGTTTCCTAGGTTTGTTCTTATCTAATTGATCTCATAAAGCAAGTGAAGTGAAAGTTGTCACACATCATACCTTTAATAGCAACTTCACGGAAGTTGGATTTGGTGTTAGAGTACAGCCTCTTCCAGTCATCGAGAACCATTGGGCTTGGGGGTAGCAAATCAAGAGGGTTCTTGGCTTTGGGCTTTGGTGCTTCTTCTTCTTCAGCGAGCTTTGGTGCCTCTGCTACTGGAGCAGCTTTCTTAGGCTCCTCCTTGGGCTTTGCAGGCTGTGCAGCTTTCTTAGAAGGAATTGGAGGAACAGCTTCGGTCTGTTTGGCATCACCAATAACCTTCTTGAAGTTTGGTTGGTTAACCATCGTCCAGAAGTATCTCTCAACATGAGGGAATGCAGAGGTAAAGCTCTTGGTCATCACGGTGGCAAACCCCAAGTTCAAGTTGCACACGGTAACAATATCAGCGAGTGTAACGGCGTGTCCAACAAGGTAAGTGTTGGAGGCGAGGTGTGTGTTCAGAGCATCAAGCCCTCTCTTCAGTGCAGCAATTGCCGCTTCCTCAGCCTTAATTCATACCATTTTAAAGATGAGAAGAAGCACACTTACAATAGTATTAGAGTGCAAGGAGTAACATGCTAGAGAAGCACTGAAAATTAGGGAAAGCTTACTGGAGCAGAGAACGGAGCGAAGCCCATTCTTGGAGCGAACCACCTCAACATGTGAGTATCAATCTCCAACGTGGAAAAATCAATCCATTGCTCAATGTGAGCCTGAAAAAGTAAACACATGCACGTAGACGTTATAAACAGGGAACTACCAGCTAAACGATGCAAAAAATAATGAAACCAAATCTTTAAATTGCCTTAGGGGAATAAACAAGTGCTTACATTATCAATGAGGGAAAATCCATTCAAAGAGTTTTCAACATTCAAGCGGCTCACTGTAATGGGGTATCAAATCATTCATTATACATAATTAATTAAAAACAAACAATCATATAGTGCGGAAACAAAAAAAAGAGAAGGAAATGAACTTATACCGTATCGTGCAATTGCATTGCTCTCAAATACGGAACCTTCAGGAGTCTCAAGCACGGGAACCTAGTAGGATCATAACCTTTTATTAGCTAAGAAATTACAGCAAACATAAATCAAAACTGACTAACATCTTGAAACTTATCGGAAGAGCTTTCACACCTTTCCAATGGGGTTCATCTTGAGGAACTCTGAAGATTTGTTAGTGACGCCCATCTGAAAGTTTTCAGGCTGCTCGATCTTAACACCCGCATACTCGGCGGCAATGAGTGCCTTATAGGCACCTTTGTTTCCCTTGTATGTATGCAAGACCTGAAATAGTAAATTCCAACAAAATCCATCAATGAGACTCGGCAGCATTTACAGTTACATTCAACAAGATAGTTTTCCATAAATTCACCAATTCTCAAGTTTCTTCAAGATGAAGACAATTCACAAATTAGAACAAGGCAGTAGCACACAGCGTCTAGATACAAAAATCAACAGATATAGATACCAATTGATTTATATAAACAACACTGCAAGAACCTACATCAGTCAAAAATCAAAGTATTCCTCGGCTAAAACATACAAGAAACTCAGCAGAATTTCCATAGTTATATTTAACAAAACACGTTTCTAAAATAGAATGTACAAAAAATCAGGGTTCAACCCCCAATTCTCAAGTTTCTTCAAGAAGAAGATGATCACAAATTAGAACAAGATACTGCACACCATGTTAAGATACAAAAATGAACAGAAACTGACAACAATTGATATAAAAACAATAATCCAAGAACCTAGATCAGTCGAAAACTCTTATGAACAGATAGTGTTCTTGGAATTCAGCGAAGAATGGTTTTTCTATTCATGATCGTACATCGTCCAAAGGAATTTACCAAAATCCAGGTCAAAAAGAAGAAGATGATCACAAATCAGAACATGACACTAGCACACAACGTCTAGATACAGAAACTGATACCAAACTGATATATAAACAATCCACCAAGAACATATAGATCAGTCAAAAATCAGACTAGTTTTGCAGCCGAACATAGATGAAGATCGATGAACTAGTATGAACAGATAGAGGGAAAAATAAACTTCGAAAAGTGTAATCTAAGCTTGAAAAATAACACAAAGCCTCGTGTATAATAGAAACAGTGGGCACTCACCAACGCCATAGCTCCGACAGAAAAAGCTACGAACTCGGAGGATTCTGAGTTCAGATCTAGCAACAAAGAAAACACGAGGTAAACGGTGAGTCGAAATTCGGTGAAGATAAGCGTGATTCGAAGCAAATGGAGAAGTTGATAGATCGATCTTACGAGAGGCTTTGCGAATTTTCCGTGAGCAAAGCGAGAGAGAGGAAAAAAATAGCGGCGGCGAGAATAGTATAAAAGAGTGTGAGGAGTGTAAATTAGGGCTCTACAAGGATCCGATACGATCTGTGGAGAATATTCTCCGTTACGTTTGGTTCTATTCGGTTTAGTTTCTGGTTTTGTCAATCTACTGTGGTTTGCCTTTTTTATACCTTTGCTTTTTATTTCTCCAAAGCAATGTCCAAAGTCCAAACCATAAAGTTTTTCTCGAATGCTTCTAAAACCAAACCGAACATTGAACCGAAATATGTGTTTGGTATAGTCTGATTTAGTGAAAAACAAAACACATACTGTAATCGTTCTTTAAAACTGGGATTACAAAGATAATATATTCCATAAATAGATATACATGTGATATTGTGAAATGAATTTGACTATGCTTTACTCACTAACAGATTATTAAACATAATTTTTTTCTTCTTGATATATCTTTCTGGAATGCAAAATGAACTTTAAACTGCACATCATATGATAAAACACGTTGTTTTTTTTACATAAATTATGAAAGATTGATCATTTGATACCAATACTTCCATACCAAAGTCATTTGATAAGAAAATGGTTTTGATTTTCTCTTCTATGAATTCAACATGTAATATTGTTTCCGACTAATGAATTTGGTTTCCTCTTGCGTTCTATAAGTTTAGTGATTATAAATTGAGTGACCCCCAAAAAAATTAAGTAGTTTCAAAACCGACCAGTAATTTAGTATAGAATACTTATAAGACATTATTGGTAGGTGTGCACTAAACTATAATTGTCCTCTTGTCATGCATACATTTTTTATTGACTTCATTCAATTTCTTCTACGAAAATTCATAAAATTGGCTTACCATCCACAACTCTTTGCGCGTCATTTCTTCACAACCTCTTGCCTTTTGGTCAACAGTACCAACAACTTCTCTCTTCTTCTTTTCTTCTGCGTTTGCTTTGGTGCGACCAAGAAAGAAACATAGCTAAAGAAACAAAAAATGGAGGTTCCAATTTGGGAATGGTGTTTGGTCGTCATAGCAATCATCTTCTTGGCAATTGCTTCCCATTTTCTCGGAAGACTCTTGTGTAGCCCTCGAGAGAGAATCACAGACAATAAAGTCGAAAAGAAACATGGACCAGTCGCAGAAGCAAAGACTGAGAAAAAAGGCGGTGAACAACTCGTATGATGGTGATTCTGATCTCCAAGAGCATCATCATCATCAAGTTTCATTGTCAAGTTCGAGTTGTAAGTTCATGCTATTTTTATACACTTCTTGTAAAATAAATACTATGTAATGCTTTCACAAAATCAAGAAATCCTCAAGCATTCGTATAGAACAATCATTGTGATGTGTCCCAGCTTTTGTTCGAGAACCCGTTGACGAATAACACATCGTTTTCACAACCCAACTTGAAACAGTAATGATTCATAAACTGAGATTTTATCAGATTATTTAAAAAAGAATCAATCAGATAAACGTTAGCAATTGACTATACAAGGCAAGATCCTAAGTCCTAACCCCTTTTCTTCTGAACCATACAAGTCTAAACAAAAAGGTAAGTATGGTGAAGAACCATCATCAGATTTTCCCAAAAGTTTGCTTTTTATTTTAACTTCATCTAAGAAATCTAAGAAACTTTATATGAATATGTCTCCCAAAATCACTCACCTTCCATTAGCCGGAAGCGAGGCTCGAGCCTGTCTGTTATCGTCCCTCTTAGCCTTATCAGCTTGAGCTTTCCGTACAGCCAACAAGATCTGTCTTTCATGTTCTTTCAACATCTCATCCAAGTTTCCTTCTCCTTGAATCAATGGTCCTGAGTAATGAATCCTATCTCTCTTCTCACCATCATAACTCTATAATGATCAACCACAAATATAAGTAACAACACAAGAAACTAACAAAGTAACAACAATGTTAAACGCGGTTTTTGTATTTACCATTATAGATTCTTTGCTAGAGGATGAGTGGTCATCATCTTTCTTCAAACCATTGAAAGGTTTCTCAAGCAATCTTTGGGACAGATTGCAATTCCCTGAACTATCCTCAAGCCATCGCTGGTTCACTAACGCGTCCCTCACACTACCAAACTGTGAACCATCTCTAGAAGGTGCTACAGAGTTTGAAAATCTTGACAATTGTGCTGCTCCTCGTTGGACATAAGACCTCTGTGTTCCAAGCTGGCTTGATCCGTTAGGTTGAGGATTGCCTCCGTTTGAGTAAACCGGGTAAGGGTTTTGCGCGGTAATACCGTTCAGCGGTTCCATCCGAAAACCGAAGCCAGAATCTTTGTCAGGATTGAACTTCTCACTCACGCTTGTCTGGTTAGTCTCCCCTAAACGTTTCTTTAACATAAAGAACAACAATTCAGAGCTAAAAGATAGAAGCAGAGGCTTAGACAAACACAAATGCATTATATAGACTCAGAAGATACCTGTATTGATGCTAGTAACTCGGCATTGGCACTAGGAGCCGGTACAGCTTTGGATAACCTGCTCGATCCTTTCCTTCTGCTCATGAGAATGCACAAGTGTTACTTATATGATACTAAGAAAAATGGTGAATCAAGCAAAATACTCTTACCTTCTTGCTTCCTCTTCACGAAGCTTGACATCAAACTCTTTCCTTGGCTGATATCTCGGTAAACTTGATGGCTCGCTTGGAAAAGGTTTCGTCGTAAAGAACTGAAACAAAAGGAACAAGAACATGATATGTCAATGTAGAAAAGTAGTATCAAAGCCAGAATAAATTTTCATAGGTTAACCTCGCTTTGAAGAGCAGAAGATGTGGTTCCACGTGCTTCCGGTTCTACAGCTAGAAGAACCTCAAGGAGAGCTAAAGCTGAAGGAGGAAGAAGATCCTTGTATGTATCAGCTACACGTCGCTTGTACGGTTGTTGAGGTTTAAAGATTGTTGCATGACGCAATCTTGATCTTCTCCAATACTCCTCAGAAGGTGATCCACAGAGTTTAAAGATCTTGTGCATCTGTTCAACCTGTTAATACAAAGAAACAAAAAGGCACGATTTGATAATCATTTTTCTCCATTGACATGACATTTTAAACTTGTTTTGGTGTTCATAAAGGATACAAAACCTCTGTTCTTCCGGGAAGAAGAGGCTTTCCGGTAAAGAGCTCAGCAAGAATGCATCCCGTGCTCCACAAATCGACGGTGACTCCATAGTCAGTCGACCCGAGAAGAAGCTCAGGCGGGCGGTACCACAAGGTCACAACACGGCTGGTCAGAGGTTGCTTTCGTTGGCCATGGTAAAAAGTAGAGAGACCAAAATCGCCAATCTTCAGATTATTGTTACGATCAAGAAGAAGATTCGATCCCTTGATGTCACGGTGCAACACACCACAGCTATGGCAATGTTCTAACCCAACAAGCAATTGCTTCATATAGCATTTAATCTAGCAAAAACCATATCAAGACATTACAAAAACTGATTACAACCACTACAAATGTATACACACTTCACAGATGGTTGTTTGTTTGTTACCTGTGCTTGAGAGAACTTAATCCCAGGGGTTGAAGCAAGGCCTGAAAGATCATGATCCATATACTCAAACACAAGATACATACTTCCCGAAGTATTTGAAATGATTAGCCCTTCGAGTTTCATAACGTTTGGATGGTTAAGCCTACGAAGGATGATGATCTCTCTAGCCATGAACCTCACACTCTCAGGATCCATATTAGCAAACCGAACCTTCTTAAGCGCAACGATCCGGTTCGTTTCGAGATCACGGGCTCTGTACACATTGCTGTACGTCCCTTGTCCTATCTTCAATTGAGAAACAAAAACAGAACTTTAGCATCATTTGTCCGTTCTTGAGAGATGATTATATGTCTTAGACTTGAAATACCAAACGTGTTCCCAATGCATGATCTTAAGACAAGACATAGAAACAACGAATTCGGGATTTGCCTTGTCTTAAGACCATGCATTTAGAAGACATTTGGTAAGACATATGATCATCTCTCTGCAAATGTAAAAATCAGAACTTTTAGCATCATTTGAGATTCAAAAGCAAAGATTTAAAAGCCCTTCTCACCATCTCCAATTTCTCAAACGAATCTGCACTACGAGGAATCCAACCATTGAGAGCTTCACCAGCAACTGAAACCAACCATGAAGGCCAACCAGCAATAACCTTAGCTGTTCTTTCCCCATTCCTAACACTACCAATTCTACTCATTCTAGGTTGTAATGGTCCTACATTATCAAGTAACTCCACAGTGCTTTCCTTTTGAAGCACTGGTTCAGACGATTTGATCTCAAAACTCTCCTTCTCCTCCTGCTCTTCCTCGTCAGAGAGGTGGTTATTGGTATCGCTTGGTATTAGCCTCAATGTAGCTTCGTTTTCATTAACGTTTGTTTCCTCTGAATCTGGATTCTCGTTGTTTCTCGATGAAGAAGAGTGTTTCTTGGAGGCTTTGAGGTTGTCTTTTGGAATACTCACATGGTTGGTCTCGATGTAATCATCATTAGTTCGAACTCCTTTTGAGCAAATGCAACCCATAGTTTGCTTCCTTCTTCTTGCCTAGAAACTAATTTCTCTGGAGGTTTAAACTCAGCAACAGCATCAAGAGCTGAAGGGGCGTATACCGTAATAAAGATTCAAGCTTTTTCTCGAATCGACAATGCAATTTTGAAATCAGATTTGGGATTTGTATGAATCTAACAAACTCGATGGAAATTTAAAGAAGCTAAATGAAAGTATGGAAATTTAAAGACCACAGAAACCAATTCTGGAGAATATATAAAACCCAGATCTGAAGATCACAAGAAGAAGAAGAAAAAGAGGGATTTTTTAAGATCTTTAGATCACCATTGTTGATTTCGGAAGTAGACTGGGTCCTCGTATACTTACAAGAATTTTCAAAAAAGTCGAAATCAGAGAGAATCTAAGGAAGACTTGGTCAGTAAAGAGGAAAACGCGAGGAGAGAGATAGAGAAAAGAAGAAAGATTGTAGAAATTTTTTGCAAAAGAGAGATTTTCGGATCTGAGTTATTCATAGCTGCGAAAACGAAATAGAATTTGGCTAGGGTTTTCAAAATTGTGAAAAGCAAACAAAAAAAAATGAAAAATTGATCCGGAAGGGAAACTAAGACAAACAAGGAAACACAAGCAAAAGAAAAAGTCAAAGTCAGAGAGGATCTGAGATATTAATAAAATGATAAAAGTGGATTACCGTTTATCAGAGCTAATTAGCAAGATGCCACTCGAATCCTTTAAGACTTTAAATCCGCGACGCTATTTTATTTGTGTGAAAATGACATTCGATTGTATTCCTGAGTCAGAAAGTAACTTTAATTGGTGGGAGAAGCAAATTCTTGTCTTTGGTGAGACGTCGTCATTAAGCAAAAATGGAAAAGAAAAATTTGGATGATCTCGTAAATATAATTAGCAAACTAATTAAAATATTTATCAAAAATTGATCAAATCATAAAATACTAAAAATTTAAGTAATATTTAGTATTAAAATTCTCTAAATCAACTCTAATCTCTCAAACAAAATAATATAAGCCTTCACAAAAACCATCACTAATCTATAAATAATAAAAATGAATGATATATGCATCTAAGAATGTTTACATAGAATTTAAAGATTTAATTTTATTGGTTCATATTATCACTAATAATTATCAATCTATTAAAGTTAGTTAATTTTGTTGATTATATTGGTACACATAATCATCTACATGAAATATATTTTCTTTAAGTTATCATGTAGATGATTCTGATTCCTTTTTTGCTTATAACCTTACAGATTGAGTTCCATATGAATGTGCATAATCTCCTCTTCTTTTCTCAGACACACTCATATAGTGCTCAATAGATTAAAAACTAAACAATCATATCATCTCTATTTTCCAACATATTTATATTACGCTTTGCATTTATATTAAAAAATTAATAAAATTTCATGTCTAAATTTTTAAAAAAATTGGAATCAATATAAACTACGGATAATAGATACTTAAATATTCAATCAAATAACCAAAGATTCGAATACATAAATCTTAGAGATAAATTTTTTAGTATGTTTCCGAACTCAAAGGCAGCAGCTTGGAAAATTTTCAACCAATTCATACTACACTTTGCATTCATATTAAGAAATTGTGAGAGTTGCAAAAATGACTCAAAAATTAAAGTCAATTGCAAATATAAACCACAAAATTTTTCCTTTCAACATTAGCCATTTTATGTCCAAACAATCCTTCTCAGTTCCAATTATTCACGAAATTGTCATTACTTCAAATTATTTTTTTTTATTTTTGGATATCCAATTGACTAAATAATCCTCATCTTTCTCGCTTATTTACAAAAATGGCATCATCATCAATTCATCCAACCACCATTTTTAACCAATTTCAAGCTTTAATTGCACCAAGAATCCATTTTTGAGCGTGAATAGCTCATTATCTCTCTCATAAGCTTCTATTCTTCCATATTATCTATATTTTCTTCCCAAAACTCTATAATTTGGCTATTAAAAGTTGATGTTCTTAAATATTTTTATTTCCGGTGAGTTGGTCGTTTATTGCGATTGGATTTCTTTGATGGTAGCTAGAATCAAAGATCTCGGCTAGACAAGAAGCTAAAGACAAGTGGTAAGTCAATTTTCAGTTGATTTTAGTGTTTTTCATACCTCGGCTGCGAAAGTAGACTTCTTCTGGCCACTGTGAAGTCAACTAGTCAACGCTCATGTTAGTTTTGTAATTGACTGCGTGAAAAAAGTAGACTTCTTGGTTCGAATGAAGTCTGCGCCATTTCCTTTGATAACAAAAAAATAGCGCAGACTTCTCGAGCAAACTTCTTTAGAGACAGGTCATTTTTGCAATTGACCAATCTTTGATTTTTTGGAGTAGACTTCTCCAAGAAAAGTAGACTTCTCCAAGAAGTCTACTAATCTTTTGGCAATTGTAAAACTGACATGTGTAACGCATTTTTATTAAATATATAACAAATTTTTAAGATTTTCGTGATCTTAAGCTTGTGTTAGCAACTGTCCATGCCCATGTATAAGTTTTACATGTTTATATTTTATAGGTATGGTCGAATCAGTTTATATGTTTTATAAGATACTTAGCTTATTGATCGCAGGCTTCTCCAAGAAGTCTACTAGGTAGACTTCATTAAACTTTCAGAGAAGTCTATTTATTCAATTTTGATTTTTAATGTGGTTTTTGTTTTCTTACAGAGAATGGTTCACATACCCGCTGTTTATGGAGAATAGGTGAAGAATGAATCATTGTGGCATTTTGAGGTGGATAATAGCAAAGGAGGGCGAATGTTGTTCTTGAGAGATGGTTGCACATATGGTTTGAAAAAAATTTCTTTAACTCTTGAGTTTATGTTATTTATTGATCTTGCTTATGTATGTGTTTTAGATGTTTGTTTCTTATAGTTAAAAGTTAATTAACTTTCTTCTGTTATTAGGGGTTCAAGGATGTTGATGACTAAGTAAGATGTCAAGAAAGAAGTATGGTGATGACTTAGCAAGATGTCAAGAAAGAAGTCTGAGTAAGAAGTTTACTTCAGAAGTCTATGTAAGAAGTCTATTATGTAATATAAATCTATTGAGATAAACCATATGTTATGTAATAAGTATACTGTGAAGTCTACTAGAGAAAATTGAAAAGTATGCATATGAAATCTGACAGCGAAGTCTATTTTGCAAAATACATAAACACACATAATTTAGAAATATGATATAAAATATTCAATGCAATCCAATATTACATATAAAGTAGATCTTCTAAACAAACAAACATTTAATGGTCACTGATTATAAATCTTAAAATTAGCATAGGAAATCTATCTTAAACTAAAATATGTGAAAAAGATGCATGCGACTGAAGTTTGCTCGAGAAGTCTGCAACTGAAGTCTGCTCAAGAAGTCTGCATCTGAAGTTTGCTCGAGAAGTCTGCGACATAAGTCCACTCAAGAAGTCTGCGACTGAAGTCTGTTCGAGAAGTTTGCGGCTGAAGTCTGCTCAAGAAGTCTGTAGCCGAAGTCTGCGGCTAAACTTTGCAGCTGAAGTATGCGACTGGAATCTGATCATTCTGACCAATTGCGCCATATAATTACTATTTTGAACCTTGAAATCACTTATTTCCAGCGGAGACAAGCAAGAGCTTTGTTGAGATTTGTAGAACAAAACCAGAAATGTAAATAAGCTCAGATCTGAAACAATATGAAAAAAGAAATGTTGAAATTCAGATTTGCAACAAAATTTTCTATATTTACAAAATTCAGATCTGAAACAAAATTTAGCTATGTAACAACAACAAAAAATTCAGATCTGCAACAAAATTTAGATTTGCAACAAAATATACAAAATGTATACCCACGGTAAGCTCATATATGCAAAAATAAACTCAGATTTACAACAATAAACTCAAGTTTGTAATAATAAGCCTCAAATTTGCAATATGAACATAAGCCAAACCAAACAAAAAAAGGAACACCAAAGCTCATATTTTCTTACCACTACCATAACCAACAAGTGAGAGGAGGTTGAAAGCAAGATAGAGAGGATGTAGATGAGATTGAAGGCAAGGGAGGAAGGAAAATAGATTCATGGCCAAATAGGAGAGAGAGGCATTGTTTGAGAGAGAGAGAGAGAATTCTTTTTTTTAACACAATTAGGTTAAACTCTTTTTATATATGCAAGAAAATTTTCGGTTAAGCAGACTTCTTTTTGAAGTCTACAAATGAAGTATACTGGAGAAGTCTTCTTTTGAAGTCTACTGGAGAAGTTTGATTAACCGGTGAAATTGATCAATTACCAACAAATTATGTCTGCTATGTTCTGGCTCCTGCCCAATTTGTTAAATAATTTCGATTTCCTGCTATGTTTTTTTTTGAATTTCAGACTTCTCCAAGAAGTCTACTTGAAAATTCTATTGAAGAAGACTGCTTAACCTTAAACCCTAAATCAAAATTTAAGATTAAAACTTAAATGAAAACATTAATTTACACTAAAAATTATTTTATATAAATGCTAATTGTCTATGTATTAGTTATATATATAATCTTTCTACCAAATTATTTTGTATAATTTTTATCATTAACATTAAAAATTTAGTAATTGAGTAGACTTCTCTAGCAGCCTTATTATTAACATTGTATTGGTTATAATATAAGTTGTCTATGTTGATACAAATTGATTTGTATCAAATTTTATTTTTAATAGATGAAAATTGTATATGTTTTGGTTATGTATCTAATTTTTTTATCAAATTATTTTTGTATGATTTTTTAATTAATTCTGAAGAAATTATTAGAGTAGTCTACTCAAGAAGTCTACTCGAGTAGACTTCTCGAAGATAAAACTGTCATTGTGGCTGACGTTTTTTGTTTGGCCATAAGGGTTAGGGTTAATTTCACTATCTTTGTGAGTTACTTTTGCCAAACATGTAATAGAGGGTCTAGTTTTAAAGAAAAAATCAAGTTTTAGGTCATTTTTAGCAATTCTCCCTAAGAAATTTGACAAAATACATAAACTGTAGAGAAACAAGTACATAATATTTATCAGATATTCAATCAAATAACCAAAGATTTGAATACATAAACTTTAGGAAAAAAAAAGAGTTCGTTTTCAAACTCAAAAGCAGCAGCTTAGAAAATTATTCGTAATATTCATTTCAAGACAAAATTAAAAAATGACATATTTTATATCAAAAATACAACAATAATCGCAAAGAAACAAAAAAATCACCACAATCTTAGTAAGAAGACTATCCTTTTCTAAATTAAACATGCATATTTTACGATCACATTGAGGTTAAACAGTTCAATTGACGTTTTGAATCTTTTGTAAATAGAAGAGAAAACCAAATGGTAATTGATCATGGTAAACCCAAACGTGTTTGATATAAATAATAGATTATATATATATATATATATAATGGTAATGATGGCTTATCAAAGCAGAATGAAAGTAGGTGATAAATATGTTGCAGAATTGCTTAAATTTTTATTATGAAAATATAATTTTTTTTGAAATATATAATATAAATTTGTATTGAAAGTGTATTTGTTTCAATTTTCTAAAATGTCAAACAAAATTCTTCTACTATTATTATGTCAACACACATGGCATATATCACAAACGTATTAATAATATATTTTAGTATTTTATATAAAATAGTTATTTAATTACGTAGAAATTGATTGCTTTGCTATTATTTTACCAAAGACTATCTATAATCTTATTTAGAAAAAAACGATATGTATCATACTTCAAACACATTTATATG